CCAGCATAAAGAATGTCAGCAAGCTCATGTGGGATGAATATTGAGCAGCTGATGTGTTGTACTTTTATTCCTACTTCATCTCAAGGTGGGCTGCTCTTCCACCTACTCCATGGGTGTACTGCTTGCTGACAGATTTATTATGATGAGTCTTCCATCAACTATAAGGTTGCAACTTCAGCACAGAAAAACATACCTGAAACAGCTGAAATAATGAAAATTGAAAGCATGCAAAAATAAGGGGTTATTTCTAAGGGGGAGAGTAGTGGTTGTTTGTTTTGGGTTTTTTGAAGAAGCAAATGACCAGTGAAGCAGAAAGAAATGGCGGGGGGGAGGGGGCGGGGAACACACTGAAAGAAGTTGCAGTAGAAAAACTGAGCTGTCAGTCAGGCCAAGCATTTCAACATGACAGTATTACATTTAATTCCTATAGGAGAAGAAAGACAAATAGAGAAACACCTTCTGAAGGACAATAGCTAGAGTTGCCTGTTTTGAAGGAGAATAGCTGGAAGATTCAACAAGAAAGTAACTTTAAAACACAAGAAAAAATCCTAGGTATTTGCGTTAGGTGGGAAAGTATACTGCATATAGGCTACATTACTGTTCAAACTATAGCTTTGTTTTAGTATTTCCTTGTTTCTAGTGGTAAACTTTGCCATAAAACAGAGAGAAGCACCATTTAGAGACTATACTACAAAAATTTTGATAAGCTACAAGCATATCAAGGACACATTTAGAACAAATATCCAAACCTCTCACAGACCATCCCAACATAATGAATACATCACCAATACTAAACACTATTTATTTCAATCTTCAGAGGACAGTAGTTTTGACAATTCTAATGCTAGTCATGCTTACTAAGTTTATTCTGGTTATGTTAATTAAGCATTGGGAACTAACCAAGTCCCAAAAAATTAAAGCAACCATAATATTAATCCAAACTATAATGAAGTGTGGATAGTTTTAAAAGCTACTGCATTGCATAGTTATAAATAACACAGATCATGTTGTAGATACCATTGACCCCAAATTCTGTAAATACAATATTTAGCAAGCCCAAGAGCTACTTCAAGAATCCTACCTAGTAGTATGTATGGAGTACCTTATTTCCAAAACTGCATTTCTTTTTTTTTTCTACTGAATGAGAATAAACTCTTGTGCAAACAAATCTAGGAGGTAAAGTGTAGACCAACATTAGTCCCAAACTGAACATATTCCATGTCAGTAGGATTTATCCCACACTACAAATCTACATGGACATCACCAGATTCACTATTATTGGCAATCATGACGAAAAGTCTTTTTTTGTCTCATCTGATGTTTAGCAGAATATCCTGAAACTTGTAAATAAATTTTGTTTGAAAATAATTGAGAAACAAGAAGGACCCATGATGTAATTCTTGCAGTGTACCCAACACTCAGTGTTGGGACAATATGTCTCAAATCTACCAGATAAAGGTGAACATGTGTATTAAGTAGCTGACTTTTCAGCCACCTGTGTTATTCAGAAACAATCCATTCATTCATGTGACAACAATCGCATTATGACAAATGTCATTTCACATGACTACATATATTACAGGGAAAAAGTCTGAATCTTAATCATTTCCTACAATGGTTACTTTACGGCTAGCAAATCATAACCCTTGCATGTCAGCAATTTGTTCTTATCTGCTCTAGCTTTCCTTTTTTTTTTTGTTTTTTGTTTTTTGCATCACAGCATAGGTTTTTAAGGAATGAGGAGAACAGTTGCTTCTTTAACACAAACCACCATGTGGAAAAAGTGAGAGTAGCAACTGAGAATAATCTAAGTTTGCATACCTTGGCTCTAGTAATTTCTGCCTTCTTCACTGTGAGCTAAGTGCTCACAGTTAGCAATCTCTCCTTATACAAGTACCACCTCAGAATTAACTACCTGGAAGCCCTACAGTACAGTCACTTGCAGTGGCCTGAGCCACTTTAACACTAGGCTGTTAATAAACCTCAGCCCACCCTTTATTCCTGATTACTTTCAGAGCAACTTCCTTCCCTCCAGCCCTTCTTTCACGAGAGCCATACCGTCCATCACACTCCCATCACTGCTCCCATACTGCTTCATTCACCCTGTTGAAGTCCAGCCAGATATGTAACAAGTACCACCTGCATTTGTGTTGTACTGATATATACACACTAACTGTATATACTTCATATATGTACATGTAACTGTGTGTATATATAGTATACACTTATACTGATAAAACTGTACTAACTATAAGGCTATACCCCCAACATCACAGGTATCCCTTACAGTGAAATGTGCACAGCTGTTAAAGTATACAGATAACTTTAAAGCAAGCAGAGAGCTCTAGCAATTAACTGACATAGCCCTGCAATAACTGCTGCTATTGGTTATGATGTTGCAACTAGTCTGCAATATACTAGCTTATGAAAAATCAAATGTTACTGCTATCCTTGCACTACTGTTACCCTGTTAGACATTAGCTAACCATAAGAATTTCATCTGAGAGCACAAAACAGGCTCCTTTTTCTTTACAGAGGGAACAAGGAATGCGCCCATTTAAACTGCATTCTGTACAAAGTCGAATAACTTACTAAAAACTTTCTCCAAGGAACCATGAGATCTTAATTTGTTCAAATCATCAGGGAGGAGATTAACTTTTCAGATAAACAGTTTTAGAAACCAGTGTATTATCTGTGCTTCATAAACTATACTTTATTTAAACTTAATTTCAAAAGTTTAAACTAAAGCAGGAAATTAGCCCTCAGTAACCCAGCCAGATTCATCTTCAGCATCTAGAGGACAAACTAAAAACAAAACAAAACCAAATAGTCCTCTTTGCCAAGGAACATAATTCTGCTGTCTCATTACTGTTTTGCTAAAATAATTTAATTAGCAGCCTTCGGATACAGGAAGGAATTTATGCTACATCAGGAAAAGAAGGGCTTGGGGGGGTGAATTGTACACACTGTTCTAGCATACCAGGAACATGGTGTTGAATTCTTCCAGCTATCAGGCCAAAGCTGGACTGGCATGCCAGAAGTAAGCATTTTTTTGATCCAAAGTAGGGGGGGTAAAAAAAAAAAAAAAAAAGGCACCAGGCAGTCTAATACTTGCATACTCTGAACTGTGAGTAGGAAGAAACAGCTCACCTGAGGAGCAGTGCCAAGGTATAGTAAGTGAACTGGATATTGTGCTTCCCCCACCCATGCACAAATTGAAGTCCCAAAACCATACTGGTCCCCATCGTTCACTATGTTCTGCTCTTGTGGGCACTGACATTTGTCATTCGGGAATCCCATAACTGAGGCTTTTATAGGTAGCTATTTAGGCCAATTCCCCCAGGCTACTTCATGCAACAGCATATTTGATTCCTGCAATAAAGTTGTAGTCTAGGCTAATTTCAACATATGTTTCCTCTTTTAGATGGGAAGCCTGCTTACAGCAGGACTGCACTCCAGATCTCCAGAACAACAGAGGCCTCTACAAAAAAGTATTACTCTATCCTGAAACTGGTTGTTTAGTATGGCTTACTGCCTGTAGTGCCTAATTTCTAGTCAGCATCACACACAAGGACCCTATGCAGACAAGGTCCTATGCTTTTGCAAATCTTTGTCATGAAAGCCCTTCTACCATCAAATCAGAAGAGAGCTATCTGCCTGCCCAGTTCAAATTTCTCAGTAGTGTACGAGTAACAGCTACTCAACAAGAAACTGAGTTACGGTTTAGCTTGAAAGTCCCTGGAATTCAGGAATAAACTGCTTCTCAACCACTTTTTGTCTCAGATATCAACTGTACTTATCTGTACAGAGGCATTTCTGCAGCTCTCCAGTCCATTTTAGCCACATAAAAAGAATTTTGCAGAGCCAAACTGTATTTTATCCTCACCAACATAATCCATGGGTGGATAGGATAAGCCAAGTCTAAATGAACTGGCAGAGTTTGTATCGCTAGTTAAGATTAGCTAAAAATATCGCCATGATGCATAAACCCAAATAGAAACCTGCACCATCTACCAGAGCAGTATCAATTCTGCAGTCCCAACAGGTGTAAAAAATAATTCATCTTTGTCACTAAACTACATGAATATGTAGGAGGAAGAGAGCTGTTGACAAAGAAGGGGCATTTGTACACAAATTCAAATTTAAAGGCACCAGGGTACAGAGCCATCAGAAGCCAGTTTCTTCACCCAGAGATTTCCAATAATCCAAGAAGCTCAATACTGTAAAGTTTGTCCCTACATTTTACGTGCAAAGTGCTTCAGCCATCTGAGAAAGGCTTTGAAACTCAGCCCACACTGAAAGACAAGCCTTCCCTGAAAACATAGTTTTAAAGTAAAAAACTAGTTAGACAGTGCCTGGGTACAAGGATCATATTTGTTTTGACTTAGTTCCTCAAATCCTTTGAATACCAGTTCAGAGCACATACTCTATAAAACACTCATGAGAAACTGGCACGTTCACTCAGGCACATATTGATGAACTGCTATTTACAACTCCTGTCATTTAAGTACCTTTTTATTGCAAAGAGTAGGATTTGTAACAACAGACACAGAAGATCCTCAAGCAGCTAAGAGCTGCTGAACAAACAAGGGTAATAAAAGTGATTTTTTTCCCACTGCTTCCCATTTGAACACCACAGGCTCAGCCCGGCACAGTAAATTGCTTGCTTCCTGTCAGCCTCCAACTTCTGCATCTCTGTTTTCTGGATGGGAGCAGGGAAGGCAATTCAAGGGTAGTTTCTTTTGTTTGTTGCATAAACAAGTGCAGATAAAACAACCATTTCAAATGAACCGGTCCTTCTTAGGATAATTTTCTTGGAGCCTTCATACAACAAAGATTTATTTTCCCAGTTCAAACCCCTCCTCCGACCCCCAACAGTCCTTCAAGCCACCGGGCAAGTTGAGCCCCAGTCTCTGTAATTAATGGCTTTGTCTGAAGGTTGTGGTTTTGCCACAGCAAAACAGATACCCACATGCAGGAAAAGAAGTGAATGCACTTACTCGAGAAATAGACAGAGGGACATTGAAATCCTTGCCCCCTTGAAGTCTGAAACCCCAGGGAGCCGGCCCAACCAAAGACACGCTGTAGTTGCTCATGATGTTTAGTATTCAAGGACCAAATCCAAGGAACTGATGCCTGCAGAAGAGGATTAGAGTTTTAATTTAATGACGATAAAAACAAAAGGTACTGTTTGCCATTTTGAAAGCTCTCTTTCTTTGGCTGTATTCCCCTCCCCCAAAATCAGCCAAAAACCCTACACCAGGTCTGTCATTGTGCTTTTATTCCTCACATGTTTTCCTCCATAGCTTAGAAAGAAACATAACTAGGGAATGGGTAATATGGACTTGGAGAACTCACAGGGCCAAAATATTTGACAACTACTTCTTAGTAAAAAAACAGCGTGTGTGGTGAAACTCACACAACATTAAAGCTCATCTTTAAAAAAAGCCAATATTGAGAGAAGCATGAATTGATATATTCCTTAAACCCGAGTATGGAAGACATTAGCACTACTGGCATATTCATTTCTAACAAAATTAATATCATATGCTGCCATGTCATCAGCTCAAAGCTTATTTCTAAATACAACAATGTCAAAGCATCCCAACTTTGAAGTTAATCAGAAGAAAATAAAATCCCTGTGAGTTTTTTATTTTTATAGCATAGCTTCAAGTGGTAGAACAATGTCACAGACAAAACAGATATTAAAACCAACCCTCAAATGAAAGCTGTGAACTAAAGCAAAATATCCACAGCTGCAACTCAGTGCTAAGCAAAACCCATACATCTCCCTCTCTACAAATGTGGGCTACAAATTACCTTTAAAAGGCAACCGAGGCACTTAATTGCTGTTCAGCGTCAAAGATAAGGGCTTCAGTTTCACCTCAGATAAGCGATGTTACAATGACATCTTAGGTAGTGGATGCCGTCTAATTTTGTATAGTTGAAGCCAGGCAGGAGCACACCAGGGCGGGCTGGTGTAAGACTACACCGGGGCACAGCCAGATTCCATACTCGTATAGGGACATTTAAGGTGGACCTTCAGTCAAGCAGCAGCGAGTTGGCTGCAAACCCCACCGAACTTTTCAAAGTCCGGTTTTAGCTGTTCATACACGGCAGGGCGGGGGGGTGCTGTGTCAGTTTTTTATAGGTGGTGGATTTTTCTCAAACACAGCCCACCCTCAAGGACCACGAGAGTAGGGCTGTCACACAGCCCCCGTCGGCATAGGGATGTCACTCCCCAAGAAAGCCACCCATAACACACCTTTCTGGGTACTCCTCCAATAGCAGCAGAAATCCACACTGCTCAGACTTCGTTCTAAATCAAACAGTGAACTTTATTCACATCGACGGCCACTCAGGTAACCAGAGCAGGGCTGCTGGCATTGGGCAGTACCAGATACATATTAGGAAGCAGAATTTGGAGCTTGTAACAGAGGTGCCTGTGTACCTGGGCCATTCCCAACCTGCCCCTGCCTGTTGGCATCCAGCAAAGGGATAGCTCTGACCCCAGGCACTGACTCAACACACCACTGAGCTCTCATGTGGCTAAAGAGGAAGAAAAGTCCCCACCAAGTTTGAGATAGGATTTTTAGGGGGCTTGCTCACCGCTAAAGTAAGAACTAAGTTTTTTAATTGCCCTGTGCAAGGAACTGTGTAAAAAGAGGATTTAAATTAGTCACAGATTTCTTTCTGCATAAGAATACAAATACTTTTCACTACCTTTAAATGAAATCCACTGCAGTGACAGGTCACTGTAAACTATGAGACCGCAGAAAAGCAAACCACATCTAGTGACCAGCACACATGCAGTTGTTCGGCACAGGCAGAAGGCTTTACCTGTCAGTTGAAACGAAAGCACTTGTTTGTTTGCTTGTTTGTTTTAAACTAAGTAACAGTTGTAACTGTTGTAGCTGTAACTAATTACAATTACAGACCTAGAAAAGATATTGAATTATATTGGAAAGGATACTGTTCTTTTGCATTGGCAACTAGAAACAGGAGACTGCATGCTGAAATACCGTGCATCACTCTCAGCATCACTCATTTTTCCTTTCTCATCCCCTTAATCCTGACATTTCTGCATCTCTAGGCTTACAAATACACCAGGAAGGAACGGTAAATGAAGAAGATCCATTCAAAGTTTTATTTAACTAATTTCTTAAAATATGTCAGAGCAACAGCTAACACTTCAACCCACCAACCCCGCTTCACGTGGGGAGCATTGTGAAAACACACCAGCTAAGGGTCAAATTGTGCAACTCTCCTTTAGATGATCAAACGTTCGGTGGATCTACTTCTGGAAGGGTGAATTTCAAAATCCAGGCAGAAACGCCGGCCTGCCCCACTGCCGGCCAGGACACAGAGCAGCAGGGACGCAGCAGTGCCCAGCGGGGCTCTCCCCTCCCACCCCCCCGGGAAAAGTAGCTGTGCCGGAGGAAGGGCTGAGGGGCAGCGCTAGCACAAGCTCCTGTACTCTGCGGCACCCCCTTTGCACAACTCGCCGGGACGAGTTGCCCCAGGGCCACGGCAGGCTGGGGGGACCAGACACCCCACACCCCCCCCAGCGCGCTCGGTCTCTGTTCCAGGCACTCCAGAGGCACCAGCGTGCAGCCCACCTGTGCCACAAAGCCCGGGGACCGGGGCACACCAGAGCCCCACGCCCGAGCAGCCCGACGGGACCTCAGCGCGCTCGGCTCAGGGGCAAGCCCCGCCGGTGTCAGCTCGGGCGAGCTCTCCAGGGCCGGGCGCCCCGCCTCACAAAAATAAAACGAAAAGAAAAAAGGCACGTCAAGCTTTAAAAAACCGCGTCCAGCCTACCGACTTTTTGCTCAATCCCCCCTTTCCCCTTCTCCGCCCCCCACCCTGTTTTTTGCCGCCCCGGCAGTCACTCACCCGGCGGTGAGGCACAGCGCGGAGCGGCGAAGACACCCGGAGCGCGTCTCGTCTGGGAGGCGGCAGCTCCGTCCCCCCGGTCTTGTTTTCACTTCCGTCTCCCGCCGCTCCTCCCCTGGCCCGGCCCGGCCCAGCCCTGCCCGGCAGACACGGGATGGGACGGGACGGCGGAGCGGGGCAGGGGCCGGAAAGGCTCAGGGGCGCCGTTCCCCACTTTTATTGGGTTTTGGTTTTTTGATAGTAAAACGCTCGCTTTCACCCAGCTTTGCTTTACACACAAGTAGCTCAAGGCGCACCTGTGAAACGCAAGGGCGAGCGGGAAGGGGCTGATCTCCGTGTGCCGCTCCAGCTCCTGCTCCGAGGGAAGGGGCTGCTGCGCCGGGCAGAGAGGGGGGAAGCTGCTAGGGCAGCCTGCAGCAGAGCAGGAGACCTTGCAGAAAGAGGCAGTTTGGTTTATTTAATGGGGAGTAATGTGAGGGTTGACAGGGATGTCCTTGCCTCCTGAGTGCATTAAAGTGGGGAACAGCAGCGAGGCAGAAGAGCTGTTCAAGTTAACAAAAAACGCTGGCACAAGAACAAACAGGTATAGAGTAGCCATGGATAAATTCAGCTCAGAAATTAGAGGGGATCTGCCAGCAAGGAGGAAAGGAAGGTTTCTGGCACGGCCTCTCCGTAGGAGTGAGTGCAAGAATTGAAACAGGTTCTAAGCTGATGCTTCATCAGATTATGTTATACAACTGTTTATTTAACACAGAGACAGTCCATTTGACAATCTTCAAGCCTGAAGCAGGGCAAGCTGGCTGGGAGAGCATGCTGCTGGGCTTGCCAGTGCCAGCCACGGCCACCACTTTGCAAGAAGTGGGAACAGAGCGAGGATGAAGCGACAGCACTTCTGTGTTGTGTTCAGCTGCACCTCACGGCTAGGTGAGGCTTGAAGTTCCTGCCATAATTCATGTGAATCAGAAATCATTACAACTAAAAACGGCTGCGAAAAAAATGTGCATGTGGTTAACAGTACCGTTAGTTCTGCTGTGCCTTTTGCAAGCGGACGTGCCTATCTCGTATTGGCCTTTTTAGCCACCAGCACGCTTGTAGCAAACATGAGTAGAGCCCTCCCCAAATCTTCGTTCGTGAAGCCCAGCCATGATGAGTACCATTCAAAGGATTTCAGTCCCCTCTGCAAGCATGGATTTACTGGGGAGGAGTGCAGGAAGAAGCTTTAAATTCTATTTATCACCAGCCAACACAACACACAGTCCTCATAATGGATGGCCCCGCCATTCCCCCCTGGCCCAAAAGCACTGTCCCTTGCTCCCTTTGTCACCTGCCCAGCTGAGAGGCTGCGTTTGGCCCTGCTGTGCCCATTTCACAGGCTAATCTGAGTGAGACCCTTCAGACTGGAGGTGATGCTGGGTTAGGAGACACATGCCCTAGGTGCCTGGGTGTGCATGAAACCAGGTGATGTCCAGTCCTCTGAACCCCAGTTACGTCAACCATAACAAGGGTATTTTAACATTGCCCCACCTCATTGTGTGTCTTCTAAGTTGCCGTGACTAGGACAAATGCATCTCAAACAGTATCTCAAAAATAAAAGAATCTAAACCCCACACTACTGTAGCTGAACCACTCTTTCAGAAATCTTTCTTCTTTAGTCTGCTCTTTTTCTATTACATATCTCTAATCGGGCAAAACTGAAAATCCCCTTTACATGCACAGACTGTCTCACATGATTTTAATTCATAGAGGTAAAAATTCCCCCAACACAGGGATTTTTCATTGTGTCACAAGGGCCTTAGGTCACTCTCATGCTGTTTTATTTATTAGAGTAGAAAAAGCTCCAGGACCCCACTCCCAGTTGTGAATCACGTGACATTTCTAAGGTCATGGGGTCCCTGTGCTGACTGCTTGGGTAGCAATCTCCTTTCGGCTCACCGGAGCACACAGCCTGTGGCCATGCTTGATTTTGCACTTTGCCACTTCAGTGAAAAACATCCTTTTCCACTTCAGTTCTCCCAAAGCCTTCAGCTTTTCTTGTTGGTGGAGTAGGTTGCCCAAACTATCTGCACATGCAACATCTCAAGACACTGTTATGTTAACTCACCATGACTGAGGAAGAACTTGCAGGGAGACTTTTACTGGTTGGTATTGCAGCAGGTTTCACCCGTGGTGAGTCCTCATGCAATCTGCACCATCCCCACCCACTGCACCCAGGCCAATGCCACTCCCAGTTCAAAGCTGGCAGTCTCGTCTTTAAGTCCGTCATCACTTTTCTGCGGCGTGATAACAAATGAATCTGTTTTCCTTTGCCTCCAGAGACAGGGCACAGAAATAGAGGCAACTCATTAGTTCGAGTTCTCTCCATTCTTGGTCACTTTTCAAATATTCTCCTCTTTGAGAAAAAGCTTTTCATTAGAGCTGAATAGTGAAATAAGAGATAGTAAGTTGAGCAAGAAACCTCAGCAGCAGCTAGAACTGTGGCCTGCCTGTTCTTCCTACCACCACCAGATTTTAGACAGAGCTTGCATTTTTCCCTCTTAACAAGGAAGGAAGACGTCTGGAAATTAATTAAATGCAGTAGTCAGCTAGCCATGCAGATACAACCTATCTCTGAATTACTCAGGCACTTAAGTCTCGTTTAAATGCTAATGAAATGCCTTAGGTGCCAGATAATGGGCACTGCAAAACTGACAGAGAGTATCACCTGAGGTGGTGAAGTACAAAAAGGAGCTTGTAAATGGAAAAAGTAGCCTGTAAATTATGAACAGATTAACAATGCACAGTAGAGCTATTCTCAATTAACCAGCACTTAATCTAACATTAGCTTTTTGTGTGTTAAGGCACTGAACTACGAGCTGTGCTTTTTACTGCACTGCTACTTTCACTTTTGCTTTTCTTCCAGAGGTAAAGCTAATGCAAATATTTACACTCAGCATATAACTGGTGTTCAGCACAAAGTAACCCTCTCTCTAAAGAGGTTAATGGGAATATTATCTATAGCCTAACAGCTTATTTCCAGTTCCAAGACAGCTCTGTGGCCAAAAAATGAAAGAAATTAGATATTTTCTATGTGTTTCTGAGAAGCAGGGGCTGCAGCCAGCTTTTGGCAGGGCAAGCTGTTGCACTTTGGTCACAATGAAGCCCAAACTGCCTAATACTTGTATCACAGAAGGACTTTTATTTTTTCGTTTGTTTGGTCTTTTGTGGTTTTGTTGTTTGTTTGCTTTGTCTGTTTTTCGTTTTCCTGTCCCTGTTTTGGACAGGTACCCGGTGCTGAATGACATCTTCTCTCATACATCCTGTCCATCACAATAACTTCAGTTAGCCCAAAGACTTCCTTACATGGGAGGAGCCAGTGATGGGGCACAGAGTGGCTGGCCAGAAGTTCAGGATTCACTCAGCTGGGCAGCTACACCCACCCAGTTCACTTTGGGTTGGCTTTGTCAGCCAAAAAAACCCCCATGATCAAGTTTACTCTTACTTGTCATCTTTTTTTTTTCCCCCCTCATCTTAGAGCCCTATTCTCCCTCCAGATATGCTGACCATCTTCACTTTTCATCAGCCTGTTTTCCTACCAAGCATGTTTTCTTGCATTGCTGATTCTGTAAGCCCTCATCCTCTCTGACTATGGTTCACTCACTATATTGGTGATCAAGACAGTTTTTAAGTCTGTGACTTTCATCAGATTGAAAAGTTAGCAGCACTGGTCTTCCTGCTTTAGATAGTTAGCCACTAAAGCTCTTACTGTTATAAATGGATTTATTGTCTTTTTTGAACAATGATTTCTTCTTTTTTTTAGCCTATCAAGCCTTCTTTAATTTTTCTTTATTGTTCCTTTCCTTTGCAAAGAAAAAGTAATATTTACTAATACAATACTCCTTATTTATAGTGACCCTAGAATCTCAGTAAGTTGCGTAAACAAAGGAAATAAGTGTTTGTTATTACTGGACTCCTTTGTAGTGACTAAGTGGTCACATTGGATCCTAGTCATCCCAAGCTCTAAGCTAGAAAAATACGTTTTATTCCCTCCTTCTCTGGTAGAAGAAGGACCACCTATGTTTATGACACAGCCCATGCTACAGGTTAAACATTTCCTCCTTGTGAGTCCAAATCAATGAACCAGCAACTAAATCTTTTCATTCCAGGAAACACGAGAAGCCTTTTGAGGAACTCGAGGTTACATACTTATCACATTAAACATGGCCCATTTCGGGGACTGAAACCAATCTGAAGCTTCTCTGTACATCACAGCCTGAACAACTTCATCCTCAGCCCCACTGTGAAGCATTAGCCACATTTTACAGATGGTGACCAGAGGCAATAAACATTTATACATGCAAGGAATCAATTGAAACCAGTTCTTCCAAATTCTTGCACAGCTTCCTAACTACTGGATTACCCTACCTCAGGCTGACACAGCCCTTTCTGCTTCTTCAAATGCAGCAATACATGAGAAGGAAAAAAAAAAAAAATCAGAGCCAAGCAAGTTACAGGAGTAATGCCTTCAATCATCCCTGCTCTTACCTCTTGAAGCGAGCTGCCTGCCTTAATTTGCTTTTTCCTTAATGGCAGGGAAAGGTTAATGCAGAAATCTGTGGCCTGGTGTGGTTTAATTACAGTCCATCAGCTGTGCAGGAAGAGCTTGCTGAGTGATGTCTTTGAGCTATGTTTGCCATTCACCATGAATACCAATTAAGTAGGGTTTGGCAGGTAGACAACCAAACTTTCAGAGTGATCCTTGCAGTTATTTATATTAATTAATGTCACGGGAGAAGAGGTGCAGCTTCACCTATAGGCTTCTGTGTAAGATATTGCCTTAGCGAGGGAGGGAGCGGCTGCAAGCTGTGGCACGAAGAGCCTGGCAGGTCAGGAGCAGCCCGGCACATGGATTTGGACAGATGCCACAGGAGGGGTGCAGCAAGCTCCCCAGCGTTATTCCTACTGGCACCTCTAACTCACAAAAGCACAGCCTGTTCATAAGACAGGTCTGTTCTGCAGATCAACACGGGCACTCAGCAGATGCCATTTGTGGCTCCCCC